AAACAACGAGTGGTTTAATTCATCACCAAGGATCTCACTCCCCTCACAAATATCAATTTATTCACCGAAACAACGAGTGGTTTAATTCATCACCAAGGATCTCACTCCCCACACAAATATCAATTTATTCACCGAAACAACGAGTGGTTTAATTCATCACCAAGGATCTCATTCGCCTCACAAATATCAATCTATTCACCGAAACAATGAGTGGTTTAATTCATCACCAAGGATCTCACTCCCCTCACAAATATCCATTTATTCACCGAAACAACGAGTGGTTTAATTCATCACCAAGGATCTCACTCCCCTCACAAATATCCATTTATTCACCGAAACAACTAGTGGTTTAATTCATCACCAAGGATCTCACTCGTCTCACAAATATCAAACATTTTTGCTCATGTATTTCTTGATCAGTTTTGGACTAGAGATTCAACGTATTTATGATCTCATCAGATCAGTTAGATCAGCGATGGAAGATCCTAACCAGCAGAGCTTTATTTTATGATCACCGTATATTTATTTATGCATGTTTCACACTATGTATGTTCAGTGGCGAAGCTAGGTATCAAAGGGTCCTGGAGTAAAATATTTTGCTTCCCATTTATTTTCTTTCAGTGTTTTATAATATTTTCCCTCAATTACAGTATTCAAAATTTCTAATATCAATTTTGAGGGGCCTTGCCCTATATATCGTTACGCCACTGTGCAAGCCCGTTGCCAGTTAGGGCACTTGGCTCACAATCTGAGGGTCGTGCGTTCGAATACTCCGTCCCACCAAGTATGCTTGCCCTTTCAGCCATGCGAGCGTTATAACATGACGGTCAATCCCACTATTCGTTGGTAAATGAGTAGCCCAATTGTTGGCGGTGACTAGCTGCCTCCCCTCTAGTCTTTCACTGCTAAATTAGGGACGGCTAGCGCGGAAAGTCTTCGTGTAGCTTTGCGCAACATTCCAAACAAACCATAAGGAAACGAATTCATATTGTGGACAGTAGTCAGCTTTATCCCAATGCCATTTTAAAGGAAACATAGGTTTATACTGAAGCATTACGTTTCTAAGAAATATTTTAGGTCTTTACATATATTAGAAAAACTTGCATTCTGTGAAACTTCAGCAAGTTAAAATATTATGCCTTTAAAAAATTCTGGAGACAATGTCATTACTCTCGTCATCAGCGTGTTTAATATTTAATGTTCCGCTTTGAGCAATTCTACAGCCGTTCGCATTAGGCACATTAAAACTGACGACTGTAATAGAGAAATATATATATATATTATTTTTGCTGTCCAACAGTTTTCGCCATGTAATTGTTATTTCTGTACCTAAAATATCGTGTGGTTTGATTTCCTACCGAAAATATCGACATTCCTAAAGTTCCAAAATAAAACTAATTACTTCTTGTGTTTTGATATTCTATACACCATTAAGAGGTTTACGAGTTATACTAAATTCTGAACTAAAAAAAAATGTTACTTCAGTAATGATCTATTTTAAATTGAATTTAAAGTGGCGAAAAAATTAAAAGAAAAATGTACTTTAACAGATTTGTAAGTAAACTGTAAGTAATATAAGTTTAACATAACAGCAAATGTACAACGTTTTGACAGGGTTTTTCTTCATTACCCATTCAAGCCGTCTCCAACCATTATTAGTCTCAAAGTGGGTTCCTCGTCATCGAAACTGCAAGTTTTATTGCCCTGATATAATAATAGCTCTAATTGGCTGGCATGTTAGTGCCATCTTGTGTCTTAAAACGTTATTAATAAACTTCCACAATCCTTGAGATATAGAAGTTGTTTTGCAAAGTACATATTTTTTATTTCTTTGGCGTAGTCTTGTAAATTCAATTTAGTTTATATGTGATACTTCGTCTAGATGTTGTTAAATTACGATCTCACAAGTTTGTTTGTTTGTAATTAAGCACAAAACTACACAATGGGCTATCTGTGCTCTGCCCACCACGGGTATCGAAACCCGGATTCTAGCGTTGTAAGTCTGCAGACATACCGCTGTGCCACTGGGGGGAGGGGCAAATCTCACAACTCTTGGGTAATTTCAAGGTTTCGTTAGGGGCAACTGGTTGTTTGTGAAGCGAGCATTGGAACGGAACTTAAAGGAGTTTTTTAAAACATTTCCCCAGTAACATTAATAAATTGTATGTATCATTCGTACTAAACAAATTAAAATTAAATATAATATTATTTGTAAGAATGTTTTTAAAGCGGCCAATGTAGCGCATCTAAACAATGACTTAGGTAAAATATTTAAAATAGTAAGTTATATCGCGCCAAGATCGTGAAAAAAAACAAACAACAGAAAACTTATTCTAGTGTGTGTGGCAAGCGAGCTGGCTGTATGCCAAAAACGAACAAAACAACAAATACACTTATAATAAAATGCGTTAGAATAACAGCTTTAATGTAATGCCCAAGAAACATTACAGTCGTAAGTTATTCTGTTTACCTTGAGTGACTTTTTTCTTTCTTTGCTCTGAGCACCGTAATTAGTATGTGCCAGGTATGTGACTTAGGGAGCGTTTAGGAAGTCCTTGTGAAAGCTACTACGCACAAATAAAATGCGTAGCCAACTTCACAGATCAAGCACGGTTCGTATGCTCGAAACAAAAGAAAACTCCGGGACTGTTTCCACGATATTTGCGTGGTTTTCTAGGACTGTCGAATCCTGTCATGCAGTACTAAACTTGCTTTTCCCTGTGGGTCAGCGGTAAGTTTACAGACTTACAACGGTAAAATCGATGGTTCAATTCCCCGGGGTGACAGAGTGTAGATAGCCCATTGTGTAGCTTTGGAAAGAACAACAACAACAGCATTAAGTTCACTGACTTACAAAGCTAAAATGTAGGGTTCGATTCCCCGCGGTAGACGGAGCACAGATAACTTATTACCTGCCTTTGCGTTAAAAACAAACAAAGAAATATTCTATAATTCTAATGCCCCCCAAAGTGGCACAGCGATATGTCTGTGGACTTACAACGCTAGAAACTGGGTTTCGATATCCATGGTGGGCAGAGCACAGATAGCCAATTGTGCAGCTTTGTGCGTAACTTCAAACAAAAAAAAGTAATTATAATTTCTCAATTTTGTTAAGTTGAAGTGTTTTCTTCGCAAAATTATTAAAATATTAATCATTAAATGTAATTTTTTTATGTTATGTACTAGTTTATCTTGTCGAAAGCCTACGTTACCTTGTTGTTATTGTATAAACAAGATAATTAAACTATTTATTAATCAGTATGTTGATTAATATAAGGAATAAAAGATGGCAATGTCAGGATAAAGGCATTGTTTATCATCAAATTGAAATATTATCTCTAATCCTTCCTCCTCCAGGTGGCTTAAGTTTAAGCGCTTATGATGCTGATCGTGGTTCGATACCCGCAGTGGGCACGGAGCTTTGTGAAGCTTTGCATATGAGCAAAGAAACCTCATATATGTTTTGTTTTTTACTGGGGGGTCTGACCTTAATCAAAATTCTGTGAACTTTTCATCTTTTTGTGGCACTCTTACTGAATCTGACTAATCGTTAGAAGAATAGAAAGTATCTAATAGGTTACGAATTTTTTTAATCTTCTTCAGCTGAATGATAATCCATCTGGAAGTTTGGTGTTGCTGTGAATGAAGGATAAGTTTACAACGGTGGATATCAGAAGAACACAAGAAGTGAGATCTTGGTTTACTGTTCATGCATTAGTTTGGCGAGCTTTGACTGTAATTTCCAAGTGTCTAGGACTTTAGTTTGGCGAACTTTATAATAAAAAGGTAGTAGTCAAATAAGCTGTAAGTTACAATCACAATTAATTGTAAAAACAAACCGTTTTGTACATTGTGCATATTTAGCTTGATCATTAAGAAAAGAGATTTTTCCACGAAACCTTCAGTTTGCATCAAATTTAGCTCATAGATTCATGCACAACTTAACCCTATTGTCTTTTTTATTCGACAGATTCCGACGTGGACTAAAAAATAAATAAAAAGAGAACAGTGAGTTCTTACCTGATGATGATCCACCACTGTTAGCACTGAATCTCTGAAAAGATAGAATTCTAGAATCAGTATTACAGCTAACAACTCAGCTACATGCGGAAGTTTAATGCAAGTCTTCAGACAATTCTATAAAGTAGTGGAAAACAAAGAAAAACAGAAATCTAACAAAACGTAATAAGTGAATTATAGTCTTCACTTTCCAATTTTTATGATATGACAAAAACGTAAAAAAGAATTTAAGAGTAATTAGCGTTCTAATATTGTTTACTGCGAATAAAATCGTAACATAAACTGTAGATTCTGCAATCCTTTAATTATCCAATGTTCCCCTCCCTATCCCCCCCGAATTTGTGAGGCTAACTACAGATAGGGTTCAGTCTCCAGATTATATTTCGACGGGTGTTTTTCTTTTTTTCCGCAGTGATTAGAGATTTCATATAAGACCTTTTTATTACTCCAAGGGTTACTTACAAGGAGTAACGGTAAAAAATTAACAAATACGATTCCAACAACAGAAGTATCACTAAATGAGAAGTTATAGAAAACTCATAACATAGTCCACAATGTCATCCGCAATACAGACGACTCGGGTTTCCTTTTTGAAGAAGGGGACCAACACAGATAAAAAACATTTTAAACACATTAGTCAAAATTTTAAATATAAGAGAAACAGCTGATGGACCTCAGTTTCGAGAAAATTCAACACATCTGAGTCCTCCTGTTGCTGGTGATATAAAATTACATATTTTTACTAACGGATAATTCCAGAGATAATTATATCACATTTTCAATGCTGCTTAATGACTTATCATTTGCTAAAAATTACTTAACCTTCAACTTATATTTTACTAAAATGACTAAAGTTTCGACTTGTTCTCTTATCTTTTTGTCCAAAAATTACTTAATCTCCAACTTATATTTCACTAAAATGACTAAAGTTTCGACTTGTTCTCTTATCTTTTTGTCCAAAAATTACTTAAACTTTGCGTCATCTTTTTTGTTAATAATGACTAGACTAAAATTACGAGTTATCGTCTTTTTTTCTTTCTTTCTAAGATTGACTTAAGATTCTATTCATTCTCTTGGATTTACCGTCTTCGTTTTTGTTAAAAAAAGGACTTTAAATGTAATAAGAAATAAATAATGTGTTAAGGTAGCATATACCCTTTAAATGTTAAAAAAATATCACAATTTATTTTGAATTAATTTTCAGAGTTTTCCTTAGTTCAGATTAATTTTTCACATACCATTAAAGTCTGGACCAATTTTCAGGAGCATTCAGTATATGTTAGTAGAAGTTATCAGGAACATAAGACTTTTTTTTGTACTTCTTTATTTTTACTAGCAGAGACCCGCAAAACATTTCCGGCCAAATTAGTATCTTTATCGTAACAGTATTTCTTTAAATATAACATTTCTAGCACAATACAAACGAATTGTAATCGTAGACAACGAAATGTGTAAATTCACTTGTATATAGGCCTAAGTTCGATAAAGAGATAAATTAACACTGTAACCTGTGTACTTTTTTTTTATTTTACTTTAGTTAGGACTAAACTTTACTGTACTTAATACTATCAATTAATAAACTTATAATGCTATTCTACGACCTAACGTCAAACCGTTTTAAAAACTTTGATACGTTTTTAATATTCTGTTGTACAAAATGGTTAGTAAAGTATATTTACATTCCCCTTTTGTTGTTACTTCTTGTTCCATACAGCAATTGTAGCGACTTGATCAGTGAGTGAGAACCTGGAGTATAGTAGAAAGCTTGAACATTATTGACGAAAAGTTTGTTTATTTGATTATTGTTGAGTGCAAATCTACACAAATTGATTATCTTGGCTCTGCCCACCGAAGGTATCGAAACCAGGTTTTTAGCGTTATAAGCCCTCACATTTATTGCTGAATTATTGGAGGACTAACTAACTAAAAGAGTTTGAGAACTTTCAAAAAGTTTTATTTTAAGAGCGACGTTTCGAACAATACTCTTCATCGCAATTTACATCATTAAAAGTTTATGTATGAGTAAAGTTCGGAATCATAGATGTCGCACTCTTGAAACTGTTCTCTAACGCACGTTTGTCGTGTAGCGAATTGTTGAAAAAAATAAAATCATTTATTTGATCATTAGGTCTGGTACTTAGCATTTGTGTCAGAATTTAAAATAATATATATATATATATAACTTTCCTTTTTGCCAATTGTCAAATAGAAAGGCTTTTACTTATATTTCTTAATATTATAAACATATACTATGTTGTTGTTGGGCTTAGGATTATTTTACAGTAGGTGTCTGTGACTTGTTAGCGATAAATTCAACGACGAATAAACAGCTCGCACTTCACTTGCATTCAAACTAATATATATATATTCAGAACAAGTTAACGTATGTACAATAAATTCCTCAACACTATAGATATTATGGACATATAATAAACACTATATATGTAGTTCTTTCTCTCCTTCTTGTCAAATATCCACTTAGGCCTATTCAGTTACCTTAGAATTTCAATTAACAAGCCGAACTATCTTATTTATTTCTATCACACTAGTATTCTCTGTGATTCGCTTACAATTGTGGCGCGAGTTACCGTAATCGTTTGGTCTTCGTTCTTTTGAAGATCCTCTGTTCCTTTTGTCAAAGTGTACTCAGGCTGATTCAATTACTTTAGAACCACGCTTTGACGGAATAAAATTATTTTTCTTATCTTCTTTTCTACTGTTAGTTTCACTCTAACATGTTAAACGTTAGGCCTATCACATCTGCGGTACTTAACTTCATGCCAACTTCTTTCTCTTTCGCTATTATCTGTCTGCTGCTTCCCGCTCGTCTCATCCTATTTATATCTTTATTACCTAATCGTCTGTCTACCCTTCTATATTATCGACGTCAGTATATTGCAAGTGACGTTCGATATTCTCAACATCAATGAATTATTAACAAAACTTCCTACAATTATTTGCTGTTAACTCTTATTATAACAAAACTAAACAATAATAAAACATTCACTCACAAAACTAAATTAATCAATAATATCTGAACGACACAGTTTTTTATATCATGACAATCTGTATTTATGGCAAAGCTATTAACGTAAGCTGTCACCTCCATAATTTTGAACTACTCAACAGAGGGAAGGCAGCCAATAAGTAACACCCTCTACCTCCCACCATACACACGCCAGTTGTATGGTATGGGGTCAAACTCGGATCGCCAGCTCCGAAGTTCAGAGCTCTACCAAACCCCGTTCCCCGCTTTTAGAATATGTAACTAACTACCACCCACAATTTAATAAAGCATGTGACACTCAAAAAAGAATATATTGTTACAAAACAGATTTGAAATTAATAAACAGTAATAATACATCAGCATAATAACGTACAGATAATTAAAAGAGTTAAAAACATAAAAAAAAACCTCACTAGTTTCAAAAGGCCAAACTTGTCATTCTCAAGAGTCGGAGTCAATCTGTTTTCAACGCCTTGTACGTTCAGGTTCAAAACAGTCCAGAAAGGTCAACGTTCACTGATGGTCGTAGATTTTAAAAATTAATTCGAAAAAAGAAAGAAAAAAGTTTATTTTGAGAATGATAAACTTGGCTTGTTGAAACTAGTCGTTTTTAAAATGTTTTATTAATACGTTAATCATTTGTATATTGCTATGCTGATATATTATTTATGTTTTTTATGAACTTGCACAAAGTAATTCTCTCTTTATTTATGCCCCCCAGTGGCACAGCGGTAAGTCTGCGGAATTACTATGTTAGTTACTGGGTTTCAATACCCGTGATTGGCAGAGCACAGATAGCCCATTGTGTAGCTTTGTGCTTAACTTCAAATAAACAAATTCTTTCTTTAAATATTTCTAATCCCAAAACTGTCAGCAAACGGTTTTTACCCCTTCCCCATGGCTCAACAAAAGTCTAATAACGCTAAATACTGGGTTTCGACACGGTATGTACAGCACGGATAGTCCATTGTGTAGTTTTACGTTTAACAACAAACAAACAAAATTATCACGATGTTTAATTTCTTTGATATATTTCGAAAAATGCCTTAGCATTTAATGTTAGCTAATATCCATATATTATGGGTGTCACTAACAATACTGTACAAAATTGGATTAACTAAGACTAGAAAGAAGTGCCTAACTATAATTTCGTTCAATCCTGTACAACTGACAATTCAGTATTCACAAATAAAATAACATCTACGCCCAAGACCCACCAGTCTTTCTGGAAAAATAGTATGTAGAGAATAATATATTTACAAATAAATACAGCTATGTGTCTAAGACCTTTCTTGCTTAAACGTCGAAAGGTATATGTATGGTAATAATGCTTGGAGATGGCTTGAATGGGTAATGAGGAAAAGTCTAATATAAATTTAACATAACAGCAAATGTACAACGTTTTGGTAGTTCTAAGTCGATCTGGTTGACTGTCATAGAATGAATTTTTCTCCACACGTCACAGAAGCAGAACCACTAGTCACATAGAAATGAAAATAATCTTAATCTAGTTCGCGCTGTAAGCGATAGAGGGCACCTTCAGTATTCTACTATGTATTTTAATACATAGTTCAAGAAGCTGCTGATTATGGATAGTGCAAATAGGTTTGGTTTTTGAATTTCGCGTAAAGCTACATGAGGGATATCTGCGCTTTTGCAGTGATAGACTAGAGAAAAGGCGGTTAGCCAACACCACCCACAGCCATCTCTTGGGCTACTCTTTTATCAACAAATAGTGGGATTGACCAAACGTTATAACGCCCCCAGACCACCAGACCATACAAGGCCCAAAATAAAAATACATGTATTTATAAAGTAATCATAATACATACATTTAGTTACATATAGTATTGATCGAAAATTTGAAATAGAATAATAGAACTTTAACCTAATATTCAAACGACAGATCTGCATAGTGCTTTTAAACGGCAGTAAATACAATTACAATTGAAGTGTACACACCAGTTCGATGAGACTAGCGATTAAAATTAAAAATAACAGTTAATATGATATATCAGAAAATGATA